CTCCCTCAGCGCTGACCATCCGACAGTGCCCACTCCCTCAGCGCTGACCCTCCGACAGTGCGGCGCTCCCTCAGCGCTGACCCTCCGACAGTGCCCACTCCCTCAGCGCTGACCCTCTGACAGTGCCCACTCCCTCAGCACTGACCCTCCGACAGTGCGGCGCTCCCTCAGCACTGACCCTCCGACAGTGCCCGCTCCCTCAGCACTGACCCTCCGACAGTGCGGCGCTCCCTCAGCGCTGACCCTCCGACAGTGCCCACTCCCTCAGCACTGACCCTCTGACAGTGCCCACTCCCTCAGCACTGACCCTCCGACAGTGCGGCGCTCCCTCAGCACTGACCCTCCGACAGTGCCCGCTCCCTCAGCACTGACCCTCCGACAGTGCGGCACTCCCTCGGTACTGACCCTCCGACAGTGCGGCGCTCCCTCTGAACTGCATTGGGATTGTAATCCTGAAATATTTTCTACAGTCTGTGGAGTGGGACGCGAAATCTTTCTGAGTGAATATTGAAGGAGTCTTCTGCTGAACTGAATTAAAATATACAAATGACTCCCTTTGGAGATTTATATCAGATCCTAGAGGTAATTCTATTCCTTCAGCCTGTTATGACATTGAAATTCGATCAGGGCTGAAAAATGTTTTACGTCAATCTACTGCCTTGCTCCCATATCCAGATTTCCCTACCCGACAAAAACCTGCCTGTCGAATTTTGAAATGTCCCATTAAGCCTCTTGGTTGAGGAGATGCTTCCTGTTTTCCTCCTGAATGTCCCTGGCTCCCAGTCGTTCTAGAGTAGCCCCCACCCGAAGCCATCTCCTGCAACAGGGAACGGCTCGTCTTGATCCATGCTTTCGAACCTTTTTATCATCTTTATCCCATCAAATAAGTTCCCCTGCAATGTAATAACCTCTGACCCGGAGTACAGGAAATGGAAACTTCTCCCATACTCCGCTATGATCTGACCTTTCGTACCTTTGACCTTTGACATCCACGCAGAGCAACGAGACACGTGACTTGTCATAGTTTATCAATCAGTTCATTTTATTTCCATCGTATTTTGATAACTATTGGTTGCCATAGCAACGAAAACCCACTCAACAAAGAGGCGCTCTTTAACCAACTCCTCTGCTGTGGAACTACCCCCCACTGGGGCAAAGGGTCACCCATAACATCCTCAATTCTCCATCCCACCGACTCATCGCTTTCTAAATCGATATCTACGCAGCTGCCATTTTTAATGCTCCCCACCTCCCAAAACTAGTCAGAAAGCAGCTCCTCCCACACTGTTGATCTCCAGCCAGACCCACATTCTGTTAAATAGGAGCAAGAGTAGGCCATTCAGCCCGTCAAGTTAAGATGCAGATACTCTGTGTTCACCTGCTGAAGGGCTCCCTGTAGGGTCTCTCTTGCAGATAACTCAGATTGGCCCTTAAAGGCCAGATGGCTCCCTTCTGCCTGGTAACCATTGAATGATTCAGCTTGTCCTGGATGCTGTCAGCTTCTGGCATGATAAATATACAGCAGGCAGACCCCTGGGATGGCAGTAATGTCTCATGAGCAGAAATCAAAGGGGCAGAAGGGATGGTACAGACCACAGAGATTCATTCCACCACACCCAACAGCAATGGTACAGACGCCAGAGCCCTTATCCCCCCCGACAGTAATAGTACAGACCACAGACCCCAATTCCCTCCCATCCAATATAATGCCAGACCACCCCCCCCCCTTTCTACATCCTCCCCCTGACAATAATGGTACAGACCCCAGACCTCCATTACCGCCCCAACAGTAATGGTACAAACCCCAGAGCTCTATCCCCAGCTACCCCCCCACCCCCCCACTTGCTCTGGCCCGTCACTTTGGCCGCAGACAGCACTACACCCAGACTTTTCCTGAGGTCTCGCCTTTCCTGAGGCAGCAGATCCCCGTCCAGCGGTAGCGGGAGGCCGGAAGATTCCGGTACACAGCCTTGCTGTATGGGATAAAGCAGAGGCCGAGCTGCAGGTGCCGTGCGAGCCGACAATAAGCAGCCAGAGCCAGGACTGCTAACGGTGTCACCAACACAAAGCCCACCACCATCAGTGCTGTAGAACTGTTATCGCTCAGAATCTCCGTGCAGTGACTAGCCTGGGAATTCAGAACCTGCGAGAGAGAGAGAGAGCAGAGTTACAGTGGAGTTACAATTGTGTTACAGTGGAGTTATATTAGGGTTACAGTGGAGTTACAATTGTGTTACAGTGGAGTTATATTAGGGTTACAGTGGAGTTACATTAGTGTTACAGTGGAGTTACATTAGAGTTACAGTGGAGTTACATTAGGGTTACAGTGGAGTTACAATTGTGTTACAGTGGAGTTACATTAGTGTTACAGTGGAGTTACAATAGTGTTACAGTGGAGTTATATTAGGGTTACAGAAGAATTACGTTAGGATTACAGTGGAGTTACCATAGTAGTACAATGGAGTTACATTCAGGTTACAATAGAGTTTCAATAGTGTTACAGTGGAGTTACATTCGGGTTCCAGTGGAGTTATAATTGAGTTATAGTGGAATTACAGCAGAGTTACAATAGATATAGAGCAGAGTTACAAGGGACTTATAGAAGAATTATAATAGAGTTGCATTTGAGGTACAGCAGAGGTACGAGAGAGAGATGATAAAGATGCAGTGGAGTTACTGTGGAGGAACAATAGATGTACAGAGAGGTATAGTGGCGCTTCAATAGAGCTACAGAAGTCGCAAAAGAAACAGAGTCACAGTAGAGCTACAGCTGAGTTGCAGTTGAAGTACTAGGCTTGGAATGGGGTTACTGTGGAATTACAGCAGAGGTACAGCTGAGTTACAATGAAATTACAATAGAGTTAGAACTGCGTTCAAATGGAGTTACAGCAGATGTTAGCGCAGAGATACAGTAGAGGTATAATAGAGGTACAATGAAGTTATAATGGACATACACCAGAGTAATAAGGAAGTCATAACAGTGTTAAAATGAACTTATAGCAGTGTTACAATGGGGTTAGAGCAGAGTCAAAATGGCCTAATGGCAGAGTCACAACAGATTTATGGCAGAGAAAGAATAAAATTAGAAAAGACTTGCAGCAAGGTTAAAATAGAGTCACAGGAGAGATACATCAGAGCCAACACATAGTTACAGAAATGTTACAGCTGAATTATAATAAATCTGCAGCAGAGTTACGATAGTAAGGCCACACTTGGAATATTGTGTACTGAAAACAAAACATGCTGGAGATCACAGTGGGTCAGGCAGCATATGTGGAGAGAGAGCAGGCTAACACTTCAAGTCTAGATGACTCTACAGATGACACTACAGATTTCAGCATCTGCAGTAATTTGCTCCTACATTGGAATATTTTGTGCAGTTTTTGTATCCTTAACTGAAGAAGGATGCTCTCGCTATAGAGGGAGTGCAGCGAAGGTTTACTAAATTGATTCCTGGTAGGACTGATGTATGAGGAGAGATTAAGTCAGTTAGGATTGTATACATTGGAGTTTAGAACAATGAGGGGAAATTCATAGAAACCTATAAAATTCTAACAGGACTAGACAGGTTAGATGGAGGATGTTCCCAGTAGTGAGAGAGCCTAGAACCAGGAATCCTTTTTTTAAAATTCACTCATAAGGACATAGTCAACTCTGGCTGGCCCAGCATTTATTGTCCATCCATAGTTGGCCTTGAGAAGGTGGTAGTGAGCTGCCTTTGTGAACCACTGTATGTTGACCCACAATGTCCTTTGGGAGGAAGTTCCAGGATTTTTATCCAACAACAGTGAAGGAATGGTGATAGATTTCTAAGCTGCTGTCTAAGGAGCATTGGTGAAATATTGCAGCACATCCTGAAGTATACACTGCTGCTACTGAGCGTCAGTGGTGGAGGGAGTGAATGCTGTCGCTGTGGTGCCACTCAAGCGGGCTGCTTTGTCCTGGATGGTGTCAAGCTTCTTGAGTGTTGTTGGGGCTGCACTCATCCAGGCAAGTGGGGAGTATTCCATCACACTCCTGACTTGTGCCTTGTAGATGACAGACAGACTTTGGGAAGTTTTAAGAATTAGGGATAAAACTTTTAGGACTGAGATGAGGAGAAATTTCTTCGCATAGAGAGTGGTGAGTCTGTGGAATTCACTACCACAAATAATGGTTGAGGCCAAAATATGATGTGTTTATGAGACAGACGTGGCTAAAGGGAAAAGGGGATATGGAATTATGGTATTGAGTTTGATGATCAGCCATCATCATATTGAATGGCAGAGCAGATTCAAGGGGTTGAATGACCAGACCAACTCCAATCTTGTATGTTTCTATGAGTTACAGCAGGGCTAGGGCAGAGTTATAATAGGACCGTAGCAGAGCTACAATGAATTTAAAACAAAGTGACAATAGAGTTAAAACAGAGTTACAATAGAATTGAGACAGGGTTACAATGGAATCACAAGTGGTACATCAGTATTGCAAGACTTATGGCAGGTTACAGCTGTTATAAAGGAGTTCATGTAGATTTACAATAAAATTACAAGAGACATAGATGGGATGGATAGGAAGCAGGCAGACCAGCAACAAACCTGTGTGGGACACAGCAGCAGTGGCAGTGAGATTAAAGGCTGCAGGGAGAGCAGAGAGGACCCATAAACAGACAGACTAGGAGCACAGCTGCTTCTACAAAATTGAACTGTGATGTCCCAGAAGAGCAGGTGGATAATTGGTGGGTATCTCTCACTTGTCTCTTTTGACTAGACACTGACTGAAGTTAAGGGGTAGTACTGTGGTTAGCACTGCTGCCTCACAGCATCAGGGAACTGGGTTAGAACATACAGCAGTCCAGCACAGTACAGGCCCTTTGGCCCACGATGTTGTGCCAAACTTTTACCCTAAACCTAAGGTCTATCTAACCTCCACCCCTACCTTATACTATCATCCATATGCCGATTTAATAGCCACTTAAATGCCCCTAATGAGGCCGACTCCACTACTCTCTCCGGCAATGTATTCCACATCCCTACCACTCTCTGAGTAAAGAACCTACCTCTGATGTCTCCCCTATATCTACCTCCACTCACTTTAAAACTATGTCCCCTTGTAATAGCTACCTCCACCCTAGGAAGCAGTCTCTGGCTGTCCATTCTATCTATACCTCTGATCATTTTGTACATCTCTATCAAGTTCAGTTCTGCCCTCGGTCAACTGTGTGGAGTTTGCCATTCTCCCCGTGTCTGCATGGGTTTCCTCCGGTTTCCTCCCACAGTCCAAAGATGTGCAGGTAAGGGTGGATTAGTCATATTAAATTGTCCATGGTGTCCAGGATGTGCAGGCTAGGGTGGATTAGCCACGGGTAATGCAGGGTTACAAGGATAGGGCAGGGGGTTGGTCTGGGTGAGATGCTCTTTGATTCTCAGTGTGGATTTGAAGGGCCGAAAGGCCTGCTTCCACACTGTGGAGATTCTATGATAATTTGGAACTTCTAAAGTCCATTTCTTCACTTCGTAGAGTTATGGGGTTCCGAGAGTTGGTCTTTAAGAAAGTATAGGATTTTTTTGGTCTATACATGTGCAAGGCTCCATATACTAATTAATTAAAGGATGTCGGGGAAGCTAAGGCCTGTGATTATCACATCCTGCACTCTGTGGGAAATCCTCAGTGCCCCTGGTGGCCTGGATGACTATTTGAGCAAGTGCCATTGGCTGCAGGTATTCAAGCTCCAGGTTTTGGGGTTTGATTGGCAGCTGAGCCTCCCACTGCATCGTAACAGTTCTCTGGTTCTGTACTTGCTTTGAAACGCTAGTGAATACTGACCCCAGTTTCCTCACAAAACAATCCCATCACCTCATGATGAATCTAGCGAATCCCCGTTGCACTTCCTTAGATAAGGAGACCAAATTGTACATAATATTTCAGGAGTGTTCTCACCAAGGCTCTGTCTGTACAATTGCAGCAAGTCACCTTTACCCCTGGACCCAAACCCTCTTGCGATGAAAGCCAACACACCAGTTGTCCTCCCATTCACTTGCTGCCCCTGCATGTTCACTTTGAGTGACTTTTGGACACCCATGCTTCCAAACCTCTCATCGCTTAAGAAATTTGCTGCTTGTCTGTTCTTTTTCTTACAAAGCACGCAACTTCACACTTATTCCCATTATATTCCATCTGCCGTGTTCTAGCCCATTCACTTTTCCTGTCCAAGCTCTCTTGAGCTTCCTACTCACAGCTTGGGTTTCCTCCCAGTTTGGTGTCTTCAGCAACTTTGAGAATATTACAAAAAACAATCAAAAGAACCGTGGATGCTGGAAAACTGAAACAAAAACAGAAATTGCTGGAAAATTCTCAGCAGGTCCGGTATCAACTGTGGAGAGAAATCAGAGTTAATGTTTCGGGTCTTCTGCTGAGATTTACCAGCAATTTTCTGCTTTTGTTGAAAATGTTACAATTGGTCCCCACATTCCAATCATTTACACAGATGACGAACAGTTGTAGACCCAGCACTGATGCTTATGATACCCCACTGGTCACAGCCTTTCATGGAGTCAGAGAGATCTACAGCACAGAAAAAAATCCTTTGGCCCATCGCTTCTACCATCCTGAGATTAATCTGCTTTATCTCTCTCAATCCATTCTAGTAAATTCCCCCAATCCTACGTGCTCTAATTTTGTTTTCTAACGTCCTCTTCTGAAAATCCAATTACACCACATCCACTGATTCTCCAGTGTCTACACCACAAGTAACATCCTCAAAAATTCCAAGATTGTCAAAAGTGATTTCCCTTTCATAAATCCATGTTGACTCTGTCCAATCTTGTCATTTTTCTCCAGTTATCATGTCCTTTGTAATAGATTGTAACATTTTCCCTCCTACATCAAGCTAACTGGTCTGCAAATCTCTAGCACCCTCCCTTGGTAAATTGTGGGGCTTCATTTACTCCCTTACAGTCAGCAGGAACTGTTCAGAATCTGCAGAATTCTGAAAGATACCTACCAATGCATCCACTGTCTCCATTGCTACTTCCTTCAACACTCTGGGATGAAGCTCATCTAAGTCAAGAGATTTATCAACCCTCAGTCAGGCCCATTTGCCATGCATTGCCTCTTCACTACTGTTAATTGCATTTAAGTCTCCAGTTACACAAATCCCCTCAC